AGAGTGTATATATTGCTGGAAATTTGTGTGGAATAGGTATTAATGCCTCTTTGTAATTTTGATTTGTAGGAGACTTCCAAGTGAATGATTTTATTTAGTCGTGGCGATTTTGAGATCATATTTATGGTACGTTCACGTACTTGGTAATTATTTGAATATGTAGTAGCATGCTAGGCTTTGATAAATTAATTTCAAGTAGTATCATGATAGGTGTTGGTTGGAATTTGTTACTTGGATTGATGTTGGTAAATGATTTGTGATGTATGAATTGTTTATGATGAATTGGTGATTGAAATTAATTATATTGGCATGTTGAGTATGAACCATACTTTTATTATTGGCATGATAGAGAGCATGATTAATCAAACTAAATATTTAATTTGATTTGGAATATGAAAAGGGAATTTTATTATGGTTCATATAATTTTCATTGATGCTTTAAGCATAGGAATTGAGCTATCAAGTGTCTTAGTACATAGGAATAAATTATATTGCGGTGCTTATGTGCACTTAAGGTGTTTCTAACACCGAGGGATAGGATTTGCGGCGCATTATGCGTTTAAGGTGTCTTTGACACCGAGATAGATTAAAAAGGGTTCAACAATTAAATTTATATGGTCACTAATTATTCAAGAGTTAAATTGGTAGGTTTGACTGCTTGAATGATTTATTATGATTGATTGTGTTATGGTTTGAGAGTCATCACCAAGTCTAAAAATATGTAAACAACGTAAAGTGAAAGACATTACGCACCAAAACTTTTGGAACGTATATACCTTGAGTATGAACATATGGGGAGAGTTATGGAGTTTTATATTTAACCATAGCTTCTACTGGGAGTACAGGACGTTGTATTTTCCTTTTTATTTATTTTATGCGTAGGACGTCCAGTCACTTCATGTGACATTTACCTACCGGGTTAGCTCCCGGTGTAGTTTACCTCAATTTATTTGGGGTAGGGATTTGGTGGGAAACCCGTTCGATGCGTAATCAAATTAAATAAGCAATTTATTTATTTATTGGTTGGTCGTTTGGTATGTTGTATGCTTGTAAACAAGTGCAGCAAGGTAAGTTGTGTGCTGATAGGATGAAAACATGTTGGTGTGTTTTTATTACGCTTATGTACTCAGCATTGCTGATTGTGTGTTGTATGTTTGTTTGGACTTGTCTTTACCTTGGCCCTACGACGACCCATTTCTGATGGCGAGTAGTGGGGACAAGTAGAGTGAAGCTTTTCAGGTGATGAAGCATTTTCATGGTGGGCATGAGTGAAGAGTGAATCATGCTTAGTTTCCATAGGAATATGATGTGTTTTATTTGCTTTGAATATTATTTATTTTATTATGTTCATGAGACTAACAAAAAGGTTTTCGATATTGTTTGATTTTAAGGGCCTAAAATGGTTTCAAGTTGTAGGTTGACTTTGTTTGACTTCGTTTGACTTTACTTTCTTTTGGTTTGACTTTTGAGTTGACTTATTTTGAATGATTTTAAAGGTAGTCTTCTGCTGTGTGTCTTTGATATTTGCCTTAGCCGTTTTCACGGTGGTAGTAATGTCTTAGATTTTCCTACTTCGTATTTTAAAAGGGCAAAATAGGTAATTTTTAAGGAAAGCAATTTCTAGAGTGTTACAAAGTGGTACCCCAACCACCGCACTAGGCTACGCCGGAGCCCAGTTCGAATTACTCTGATTTTGCACCACCACGACCTCTACCTTAAGCCGCCGCCGCACCGCCATTAGTGTTTTGGGGTTTTTGATGTCCTGCGGGAGAGTTACAATTCCGAGACTGGAACCGGACGGCTGTACCTGCAAAACAAACGGAGACTCCGAGTGATTGGAGTTCCGCCTCCAACGGTCAAGTTAGTACTTGTTTAAGGAGTAATTAATGCGGAAAAGTAAAATGTGTTTCTCTAGGTGAGAGTAATTAATGAGCGTAACCCCGTTTAGTGAGGATTAGTGAAAGTATTTATAACCTTAGGAAGCGTGCCAACCCTAGGTTAATCTAGGGCTGATTGGGCTTCCCTTGGAAGTTGGGCCTAAGTGGACGGTTAATCTAGGATGCCACGTGTCGTGACATAATAGGTCCAGGGTGGACAAATAGGTGCGTGCCACGTGGCAAACCCTGACAGGTCCAACTGGAGGACACTTGGCAGGACCTGATTGGCCCACGTGGCGCATTCCGATTGGTGGGAGCATAATCCCTTAATCAATTAGCACCTTCAATTGTTATTTATTTGTTTTAATTTGTGATTTGTTTTTCATTTTGGGGATTTTGTTTTTTCTTAGTATGATTTTGGTTTATTTGGGGATTTTGAAGGTGATGGAAGGATGGAGTAAGGGGATTTTGCTGGTGGTGGAAGAATGGAGTAAGGATGTCGCTGCCGCTACCGCTACCGTTGCCACTACCGCTGCCGCACAAACTATTGGGTGCAGACTGTCGCACCCAATAGTTTGTAAAAAATAAAATACAAAGTATTTCAATCATTTTTATTTATTCGAAACGATTTTACTTTTATACTATCCACACCAGCACACGACACACATTCTACTTTAACTTTTTTTAATGAAAAATGATTGAGGAAAATATAGTCATGTAAAATCTATTTAGTTTACATTGCTTTTCATTTAAACTTTTATTATATCAAATTTTTACACATTGAAAATTAAATATATATGGGTTCGTTTGGTATTGCTCTGGTTTTCTGTTTTTTGGTTTTTTTTTTTTAAAATCATACTTCCTCCGTTTCATAATAATCGCAACAGTAGGGTTGACATAAAGTTTTAGAAAAAGAGAAGCATCCGCACTCAAATTTCCGTGCGGCTGGCTTGACTGATATGTTTTACTTGTAGGCTGATATGTTTCATGTGTTGGCTGATATGTTTCATTTGTTAGCTGATATGGTTTTTTTGTTGGCTAATATATTCCTTTTGTTGGCTGATATGTTTTTTTTTTCGCTTTTGTTGGCTGATATCAGACATCATTTGGCTTATATGTTTCTTTAGTTGGCTGATATATTTATTTTGTTGGCTGATATCTATATTTTAGTTGTTGGCTTATATATTTTGTTGGCTTATATGTTTATTTTATTGGCTTACCTGTTGCTTTTGTTGGCTGATTTCATCATTTTGTTGGCTAATATGCTCCATTTGTTGGCTGATATGTTCCTTTTGTTGGTTGATATGTATCTTTTGTTAGATGATATGTTGCTATCGTTGGCTGATATGTATTTTTTGTTGGCTGATATATTCCTTTTGTCTGCTGATACATTTTTATTAATGTCTGATATGTCCCTAATCTTGACTAATATCAAACATCAATTGGCTGATATGAGTTATTTGTTGGCTAATGTGATACTACATTACTACTATATTTATTTCTCTCTCTCCTCTTTCTCCCTCTTCTTCTTTCCTCTTTCTTCCTTTCTCTTTGTTTCTTACACCACTACCCAAGACCCAACAAACCACGACCCTAACCTCACGCCACACCCAACCAGCCACAACCCTAACCTCACGCCACCACCCAACCAGCCACCACCCTAACATGTTGCTGCCACGAGCCACCACCCTTCCCCTACTGCCCTAGGTCATCACCCTTGCTTCAAATCTAGGGTTTCAATCGCCAATCGTCATCGTCATCGTCATAGTCAATTCCTCCCGCACGAAGCATTGAGTGCAAACGTCCGCACCCAATAGTTTGTGTTAGAAAAATTATAGGGTGGAGACCAAAAGGAGAATTTTTTAATATAAAGTATAGTTAGTGACTTAGTGGGGATATATTTAATTGTTTGTAGAAGAGAGAAATAATAAAAAAAAAACTAGTGTAAATGGGGTTGGTAGAAGAGAGAAATAATAAAATAGTTATGGGTCCTTATCAAATAAGAAAGTGTTGCAATTATTATGAAACGGATGAAAAAAGAAAGTGTTGCGATTATTATGAAACGGAGGGAATATGATATACGTCATAAAATGAATCAGAAACTGGTCAAACTTATTAAAATCATGATAATTTTGAAAACTGATAACTGAAAATTGGAAACACCTTTTTCTTGTTTCCTGTTTATGGCCTTTTGTTTTTTCAAAAAAAAAAATTTTGAAAAAAAAATCAAAAAACGATAAACAAGCCCTAAGTGATTAATTACACTTTTGTAAGTGTGAAATGAGAAATATTGCAATTAAAAGAGGAAATATGTACTAGGGTAGCACAAATAACGACGATCAATGTGGAAAATGAGTAGTATAAATAGATGACATTTAGGTTCCAACTAATTAACTCTTCATCCACATCAAACAAAAGAAATTAAAATTATAAAGAGGAAAAACGAGCATGGCAAAGCAATCAACTTCATCCACTTCCAAGTTTAAGTTGACTCTCTTGGCATTTTTGATGCTCACTATTGCTGGTACACTTATTTTCCCCCTCCATCTTTAGCTTCGATTTCATTGTACTGTTGGTATGCTAGCTAGCTTAATTAGTTAACGACAAAGGTAATTTTAAGATGTAAAAATTTAACATGGTACCAAATTCGAGCAGTTTGATATCTTGGGTTTGGCTTTGGTAATAAAACTAGGTTAAAATCCTATGCAATGTACGTTTGTTAAATATTTTTGACAATAATATTACAAAATATAAAGTATATAAAAGATATGCAGAAATATTTCATTTCGGTATATATGAAATATGATTGTCAAACTGGAAAGAAAATATCATAAGGTATAAATAGCTTACTTAAGGACTTTGCAAAAAAAAAAAAATAAAAAATAAAAAAATTAAATAAATAAGGTGGGAAATTTTTTCACAAGGTAATGACAAGTGTTATTGGTTATCGCTTTTTTTTTTTTTTTTTTTTTTTTAAGGAAGAACTAGATCCATATATTAATCATCCATGTCTAACAAAGTCAGAGTTACGATAGAATGAGGAAAAGAGCCAAACCTCGCAAGCTCCGTAGTTCCCCCCGTATCCCTCCGAGCAACCAAGTGACCTACGGTATTACAACTTCTTTATGCATGCGTAAAAATACAAAAATCAAGTAAGGCTCTGGCTACATTGATGTCCTCATAAACATGGTGGATCGGTTTTCTACCATGGGCCTTAGAGGTGATTGCATGGATTACCGATTGCGAGTTCGATTCAACCCAAACATTAGTGAACCCATATCTCAAGGCAACCGACAATGCGTACCTAATAGCCAATGCTTCCATGCACTCGGGGTCGGAGGATTTCACCCTCTTCGTGGCTGTTGTTAGGATGGTGCCACTCTCGTCTCTGACCACCACTCCTAGGCCTCCCTCTCCTCCCTCCCTAACGTGAGCATCAACATTTATCTTGACTACGCCAGTGGGAGGTTTTAACCATTTACTCACGCCTCCTTGCTTAGATTGAGCTCCAGCCTCCCTAACCCTCGCATTGTACACCCCGTAATCCTCCACGTATCTGCAGAAACCCCCAGCTAGAGCCACCATGTTCGGATTGGCTCCCTCGAACAACACCAGATTTCTACCTCTCCAAATTTCCCATATGAGAGCCATGAATCTCCTCAACTTTTCCCCATTCAACTTTCGAAACATCCAGTCCCACGTTTCCATGCACGAAGATGACGGAGCATCACTTAATATGGCTTTAAGATCACTCCTCTCCCACACCTCTTTTGCAATGGAACACATGAAGAGTGCGTGGTGGACTGACTCAGGCTATTCCTTGCATATTGGGCAAAGGTTGTTTGTTACGATGTGTTTTTTAGCTAACTTGTCCATCACAGCAATGTTGCCCTTAATGACACCCCATAAGAAGTGACGAAGTTTCGGTGGGATCTTCATATTCCATATCTTGCGCCACCAATCCACCAGCTCACCTCCATGATCATCACCACCCCTTGACATGCGAGCCAACCAATACCCAGATTTTACGCTATACCTCCCATCACTCGTAAGCACCCATTGCCTCAAATCCTCCCTATGAAACTCTGGCAGAGGTAGTTGAAGGGCTAACCCAGCGTCCTCTTCTAACATCCTACTCACCTTCTCTTCATCCCATCCCTTCCCATCAGCTGTAAGCAATTCATACACCAGCATGTCCTCTGGGCATCAGTTGGCTTTGTGGGAGTATGTGGTTTGTCATGTTTCACGAGCCACGCCTCCTTCCAGTATTTGACAAATCTGCCATCCCCAACCCTCCAACCAATTCCATCTCGGACAAGGCCCTTTGCACCCCATAAGCTCCTCCACACATAACTAGGATCGTAGCCTCTCCTAGCCTCCAAAATCCCGATCCTCCTAAAGTATCTTGCCTTCATTATCCTCCCTATAAGAGATCTCAGATTTTCAATCAATCTCCACAATTGCTTTGCAAGAAGGGCATGGTCAAAATTTCTCAAGTCCCGAAATCCGAGCTCCCCCCCCCATTGCTTTAGGCTTACATAGGTTCTCCCAACTTTGCCAATGAAGCTTCCTATGATTCTCATTTGATCCCCACCAAAATCGGCAACACAATTTGTGTATATCGTCAATAATATGATCCGGAATCCTAAAGACACTCATCATATACATGGGAATTGATTTGTATGATCGCTTTGATGAGTACTTCTTTGCCTGGTTTGGAGAGGAGCTTCTCCTTCCACCCACTCAACTTCTTACAAAACCTCCCCTTAATCCCTTCAAACACCTCCTTCTTCGATCTACCAATCATAGTTGGGAGGCCTAGATACTTTTCATGCTTCTCCACCTCTCTTACCCCCAAGGTTTCAACAATCACCCTTCTCCTTCTCACGTCAACTCCTTTACTAAACACTATCTCCGTCTTGTCTAGATTTACTTTCTGTCTGGAAGCCCCTTCATACACCATGATGATCTCAGCTATTGTGGAGCATTCTTGGAGAGTAGCTTTTGCAAAGAGTAGACTATCATCGGCAAAGAAAAGGTGAGACACCCTTGGAGCCTCCCTGCATACTCGGGACCCTGTTATCCTGTTCTCCCTTACAGCTTTAGACAACAACCCTGAGAAAGCATCGGCACATAAAAGGAACAGGTAAGGGGAGATAGGGTCCCCTTGCCGTAAGCCTCTAGAGGGAACCACCGAGGCAACTATATCTCCATTAACCTTGAATGCGAAGGATACGCTTGAAATGCATTTCATTACCATATCAATCCACTTGTCAGAAAAGCCTAGTTTCATCATTACCCATCTAAGGAAGCACCATTCAATTCTGTCATAGGCCTTACTCATGTCTAACTTCAAAGCAATTGTGCCCTTCCTATTTCCACCTCCTCTCTTCATAGCATGAAAAGTCTCATATGCAATCATAGCATTATCAGTAATCAACCTACCCGGGATGAAAGCACTTTGATTTTCAGTGATAATATGATTCAGGAAAGGTTTTAGCCTATTAGCTAAGGTTTTGGAGATAATTTTGTAGATTACATTGTAACAACTAATAGGTCTAAAGTCCTTCATGTGCTTGGGATCATTACATTTCGGGATTAGGACTATGCATGTTTTATTTATATGAGTCAGATCACCATCACCATGCCACCACTTACGAATCATATTAACCATGTCAAAACCAATAATGTGCCAAAATTTTGAAAGAATAAGGCGTGCATTCATTCTATACTTGGTGCTTTATTAGGGTGCATCTGGAATAGCGCCGTCTTTATTTCTTCCGGTGTCGGGTTAGCATCAAACACCTCATTCATTTCGGTTGTAACCTGCTGGGACAGCCCCTCCAACGCCACATCATACTCGGCTGGATCATCCGAAGTGAAAAGCTGCCGAAAATATCTCTCGACTACGCCTTGAATTTGGTCCCCATTCTCCTACCATCTACCCTCCTCATCATACAACCCCATAATGGTGTTTCGTTTTAGGCGATTACTTGCTTTCCTATGAAAGTACGAGGTATTTTTGTCCCCGTCCTTTAAATCATTTGCTCTTGCCCTAGCAAACCAATACGTCTCTTCTTCCCTCCTTAACACCTCTAATCTCTCGGCTAGCATTTTGCACCACCCTAGCATAGCATTATCCACAACTCCCCCTTTTGCCTCCTTCAACTCTCTTCGCATTCTAGCTTTTTCTTTCGTATGTTTCCGAAGGTAGACCCGACCCACTTCTTCAGCCCCTTCGCACACCCTTTTATCCTCTCGTGAACCTGCTTCCCATTTCCCTCCTCCCACGCCATCCTAACCACCTCCCTGCATTCCACACTAGATAGCCACAAATCTTCAAACCTAAAACGCCGACTTTTACGTGTTGCAACCTTCCTTCCTTCTGTGTTAACCATAATAGGAGCGTGGTCCGAGGCAACTCTAGCTAGATGTGTCACCTTGAACTCCGTAAATAAGGCCCACCACTCCTCATCACCAAGGGCTCTATCCAACCTCTCCTTCACCAATGTCTCCACACTCCTCCCCCGTTGCCATGTAAATTTGTTACCCGAGAATCCCCAATCCCTCAACTTGCACACGCCAATGGTATCACGGAACTCTTTCATCCTGGTCTCACTTCTCCACACCCCACCCTCCTTCTGTGAATTATCAAGTATCTCATTGAAATCCCCGAAAAGAGCAATGGTAACGAGCAGCTTCTCCTTAGATTTCGCATGAGCTCCCATGATTTGTGTTTGTTCTCATTTTCTGGCCAACCATATATACCAACCACTCTCCACCCTGGAACACCCTCATTATTGCATATATCAATAGCACAATGATTATCCGAGAAGGACACTAACCTTGCATCCACATCCCTCCACCAAATACTCAACCCACCAGACCTACCCCTACATGCCACATTAATGCCATACTCATATCCACATCGCCTCCGAATCCTACTCATCATGTCAACATTTGTCTTAGTCTCCATCAGAAAGACGACCCCCGGCCTCTCCATCCAGCATAAATCCCGGAGGGTTGATTCAGTCTTCGGGTTGCCAATCCCGAAGACATTCCAACTTAAGAGCTTCATTGTTGTTTGAGGGGTTGGTAGATTTTAACACCCTCTACTTGGATAGACCTGTCCCCAGTATTTTGATCTTCAAATACACGCTGTCTCTTTTCAAGAGCACCTCCTTCCCCTACATTTTCCTCCCTCCCTATCTCCTCCCCCTCACGTTTTTTATACGACACAATGTTAGTTTGGTTCCCTTCGATTCCATTCACTATAGTCTGCCTCCTCCCACGAGCCAGTCTCTTCCATCTCTTCTTCTCATTCCCCTCTACTTCCTTACCCGCCATGTCGCCCTCAATATCCATTTCACTCTCCTTACTCACCAACTCAACAGCCCCATTCCCCATCTCCTTCACCTTCCCCTCCTCAACACCCACGCCACTACTCCCCTCCTCATTAATATTCGCATCCATTCCATACTCTACATACTCACGCACATTACCTTCCTTAGTGTTGGTAATTTTTGTAGCACACAACACCAGGTTGTTCGTTCCTTCAACAAAAAAGGGAACCAATTGGGCCTCCTTCAATTTTGGCGTCACACTTTTACTACTACCCTCCCTAGTCTCTCCCTCCGATGGATTCTCTGCAACTGGTTTCGATACAAACACCAACGATCTCGACGCACGTAGCCTGTTTACTTCCTCTTGTTTTTTATTTGCACCCTTCCTTGGTGACGCCCTTAGCCACACTCCCCATTGCCTCTCCAGCGAACTATCCTCCTCCTCTGCCATTGCACAATCCCTCTCCGTATGCCCTAGAACACCACAATGGAAACAGAACGTGGCAAGACGTTCGTATTTTAGATTTATCGTAGTTATTGTTCCCATTTTGTTCTTTAATTACTAAACCTTTGGATTGGCTTCGATGTATTAACCATCACCCTAACCCTTCTGGATCTTTCCCACCCAAGGAAATCATCCTCTACCTCCATGACCACCCCCAGCTTCTCCGCAATCTTTCGCACATCCCCATTGCCCCTACTATCAAAAGGAAGATTGTTTAATCTTACCTAAAAAGGGCAAAATTTTAACTCAATTGAATCGGGTTGTTCATGTCCTCTAATTTCTTGAAGGATGATTAGGTTATTATCAAAGTGCCATGGTGCCCCTTCCATCACCTTCTCCTTATCCCTCCAATGAAAGAATTGTATCATGAACATGTTGCTTTCAATCTTCCTGAAAACCACCTCCCTCGATAACACCCATACTTGTTTCAGAGTGTTTTGCAAGGCATCGAAATTATAGGACCGAATTGTCAAAACCTTGCCTACCAGCGATAATCCAATACTCTCCTGAGATAACCGTTCGTTATCCTCCCCCAAGTCAGCCACTTCACTCTCCTCCTCCGTAATTTTTAATTTTGCCCATCTATCTATCTATCAAAACATCCTCCATTGATCCCGGGACCTTAAACCTCTCTGATGAGGACGAGACTCGCCTTTCACGAGATGTGGAACTCGTATAACCCTAACGCTAGGAGGAACCCTAACTAGAGAGAAAACGAGACTTTTTTTTTTTGTTTTGTTTTCATATTTATAAATATATTATTCAGATCACTATTGGTTATCGCTTTTAGTACAAGTTAATAGATAGATTAATTATACTTCATGTTAAAAAATTATACTCCTTACAAAAAAAATAAAAAATAGCAACAAAAGCTTTTTGATTAAATCCCAAATATTACGTAAAGATCCAAAATTGGACTAGAATAATCATCAAATCCGGATTATTTTGGATTGGAGTTTTCTAGACTGTCTACCGGTCCCTGGTCCATCAATATAGTTATAGTATTATTATGGTTTTCTTTCCATTTTAATAAATTAATGTCACTAGTAATTTTAACATGGTATGAAGATCGAGCGAGTTGAGATCTTAGGTTTTCGCTTTTTGAGTATCCGTGTTAATTAATGATTAATTGTTATGATCTATGCAGCTCCTACGCTTGGCAGGATGCAACCAACAACTGAAATAAACCCAGAAGTTATAAAAACCATAATACAAGATTTGGGAAACGAACAACTTGCTGCTTTTTACATGCAGGAAACAATAATGGCAGCAAAAGAACAACTTGGCTTGGAAGAACCAAAGCTCGCAATGGTTATTGAACAAAATCAACTCAAATGCACGCGAAGCCGAGGATATTGTGATATAAATAACCCAGATTGTTGTGAAGGACTTACTTGTCAGCGGATCAGATACCCAGATAGCGCTTGCCTCTAAGATTGGGTTAGTTGCCAACGCTACGCGGTGTCTATGCACACAATGCAATGGTTCGTTAGCAAGGGTAATTAGGCAAAGATCGAGTTAAATAAATAAATAAATGTAAGCAGGATTGCATCGATGCTTGGTATGTGTATGTCGATCAATATATAGTTGATGATGTACTCGGTAGGTTATTTCGAATTTTAATGTGAGTGAAGTTATGTTAGGACTTATAATAACGATGATGAATAATCTATGTAACTCTATGTTTGAGTCTTTGAAGTGATGCTTAGCTTGAATAAAGGTATGTAAGAGTACTTTCGTTTACTTCGTATCTATGATAAATTATATTATGACTTTTTTTTTTATACATAGCTATAAATTATAACTTAGACAAGTATACTTACTAAAAAAAACAATTAGCTTAGAGATGTTAAAGCTTAAAAATTTACATTGATAAGCACAAAAAAGTAACTTTAACATTTGTTTTAAATATAAATATTGAGAATCTTTACTTTTTTTAAAAAATATTAACCTACAAACACAGTTTCTTAATGTTTCTTGGCAGTTAATCCTTTGGTTTCAAAATAATTGATATAATTTGATTTTTTTTAATATTAATGGCTTAGCAATAATGTTGAAAAATGCAAATATATAAAAATGCACATGGGAAATTTTTTGTGAGGTGCTAGAAGATATGATGCCGATCACATCTGAATCGAATCATCTTAATTAGGTAGGCTTTTTTATAATAGAATAATAACTTTGACTTTGGCTAGGTTTTTAAAATATACTAGTGGTTAACGTGAAGGAAATAAAATAATAGTGTCATTAATCATCTAAATTTGCTATAGATCTGGAGAATGAGTAAAATATATATTATATATAGATGACATTTTGGGTTCCAATTTTTCATCCCATCAACTTAAATCACAAATAATTGCCAAAGAAATCGATTAATTTTATACACGAGTATATACGAAAGTATACATAAGCATGGCTAAGCAATCAATTTCAACCACTTCCAAGTTTGCACTCTTAGCATTTCTGATGCTCACTATAGCTGGTATATTTGTTTAATTTCAACCCTCTTTAATTTCGTTGTGTAAGCTACCTTAATTAGTTAAAGTCGAAATTAAGTAATTTTGTTTTCTAAAAAATTTAACATGATATTAGTCTGTTAGATCAAGCTAGGGTTTTTCACTTCTTGGCTTTGGTAATTATATTATTGAGTAATTGTGTTAATTAGTTGCTTATTAAGATGTATTGTAATGGTGTATATATACAGCTCCTACACTGAGCACGACGCAACTAACAACCGAGACAAACCCTGAAGCTATGACATCAATACTACAAGAGCTAGGAAAGGAACAACTTGCTGCTTCATATTATTACTTGAAGAAAATGGAAATAAAAGAGCAACTTGGCTTGGAAGAAACAAAGCTGGCCATGGTCGTCGAACAAAAGCCTCTCAAATGTGAGGGAAAAGGAGGTCCTTGTACTTGGGCTGAGTGTTGTCCTGGTCTTATATGTGCCTATGTTTTTCCTATATGGAAATTTGGCACTTGTGTCGATCTATAGATTAGTTTATTTCAAATGTAAGTAGTATATATGTTTTACATCATCTCGACGATTATACAACAAGGACCTTTATTCATACGCAAAATTTAAACGAAACACGAATTGAACTAAACAGAAGTAAAAGAGTTGAACAAGGCCAGCCTGGCCAGGAGCTTAATTGAAGTACGTACAACTATCGAACTAAACAGAAGTAAAAGAACAGGTCCTTTGTAATCACTTCATTCCAAGGGCAAGATCGAAGATTCGAAGGATAGATTAATGGCAAAGTGAAGGTTGATTAAAGAAGAGTTCACAGTACCAATTACAACACTGGAGGTTCATGAAACACCGGCCTCTAGTACCTGCAGCCATACATTGGACAGTCCCCATTTGTTGCGCGACTGAGTAAGCAATCATGGCTTCTTTCAGTCCATTAGGGTTTCTACTAGTCATGAGTTGCTGGTGATAGGCATTTGCATTTACATTGTTATTTGGTTGTTGATGAGGTAACTCATCCAGCTTATTTCCTTCTATCATTTCTTTAATGATCATAACCTTTTCGACTTCTGGCCTTGCCTCATCACTCACACTTTCCCATTGCTGCTGGAGCTGCATGCATTGATAAATTTATTAGCTTGCTAGCTAGTTAAATAATGACTCCATGCATGTATCAAATAATGACTCCATGCTAATAGAGTATATATATCAAGGGTAATATATAGATTACACAAATATATAAGTATACTCTTGATATACATTACTCTATTAGTATTATATAATATATGATATCATTGATTTGCTTCCATTTGGAATTGATTGTCATGTTTATGTACAAATACTTTCATTTGGGATAAATAATCTATGCTCGTTGATAATATACAAAGTTGTGTATGTAATTTGAACTAGTTTTTTTTATTGTGACAACCAAATCCGAATAGTTATGAGTATTTATTTTGTATATATTAGTAGGTACTTTTTACAATCACGTAAATCCTTTTAATCAAATCTTGTACATCCTCCATTCCAATAAATAGACACAGTCAAATTTAGCTCACAAACATCCTAATACACTATTGTGACCTTAGATGTATACAAAGTATATATATCTTTAAAAATTAGTCAAAAAAAAAAGTTGATATTATGAAACTTTTTTTTGATACTTATTTAACAATATGTTTCATGATCTAATTTATTAGTACTCCGTATATAAGTAATGAAAAAAGTCAAACATGTCAATTATATAAGAACAGAAGGAGTACAACATACATGTTGTATGTATATCGACTATATTTCTCATTTATTTTCGAGTGATCACTAGTAGCTAGAGTAATGATTAGCTTAATCAGAACTTAATAAATAAATTTAAAACCAATTAGGGGGGAAAGAAAATACCAGAGATAGTGAGCAACAGAAAAGCTAAGAGAGCCAACTTAGATGTGGATGAAATCGATTGCTTCTCCATGCTCATTTTTTGTTTTTATATTACTTTGATTATATTGAAGGGGATGAAGAATTATAACTCCGAATATCATCTATTTATACTAATAATTTTCCATATTAAGTAATGTTAAGTAATATATCAACCTCTAGTATGGCTAATCAAAACACCCCACCATGATGTTTGCTGAATTCAATTGGAAATATTTCTATCTGCTGCACCAACACGTGAAATCATTAATGTTAACTGAAACAAAGTGGGATAATTAACTGTTTTATAAGGTTGGGAATTGGGGTAATTGCCTAGAAGTTCCAACAATTAGCTGAACATAGTAATACCTCAGTTTCCATGTACTGCTGACTGCATTGTCATTTGGTTGAACTTTAAAAGTAAATTTAACAGGATATTAATTTCATATACTTAGGAATGGTATTACAATTTCATATTTAACGATATATATAATTAAAGAAGAATAGTCCCCGTCAAAAAAAAGGGGAAAAAAAAAAAAGAAGAAGAAGAATATAGTCATGTAAAATTTTGTTAAATTAGATAGATATATACATTTTTTCGGATAAGTATGTAATATATTTGGCCTCCATTAATGCTTGCAAGGTTCTATAATATACAGTTATCACATTGAGTGAAATAGAGCCTAATGACATCTCGACGTGCTCACTTAGGATTACTAAAACGATGGTAAGTTGCATTAATTGGTATCCATATATTTTAATTAGCTAAAATAAGATGATCGATCGATCTAAATGCGGCTTACATTCTCGGTAAGACACTAAGACGTGTTTTAGGTTTACTACTTACTTTTAAGGGCGTCATAATTTTAGTTTAGATTTCCTTATTTACTCACTCCTCGACCTCACACTTTTCTTCTTTCTACTTTGATATCACTTTCATAAAATCTTTTATTCAAGTTATTATAGAGCAAGTAACTTGGGATATATATTTGGATGTAATAATGGATAGTGTATTTTTTTTATTATTATTATAATACTACATTTTACTTCATTATTTTTTCTTTTGTTACACTTTTTACTACTGTTGTACTGATTTTTCTAATTTTGGCCCAAAAAAAAAAAATCTCTACATATAGGACTCCTGGACTTGGTTTTCACACCACCACCCCCATTTGACCAAGGAGGCCTTTGCCTTCGATCGCACACACACACGTACGATGGCTTGATTGTCTCGATTCAAGCCCTTTCATGGCGCCTCCTGCGTTTCTAGGCCTACAAACCATCCAAATGTCGTATTCAAATTGTTGCATGCATATCGAATGTGTCAGGATTAAATTTTCCTTGTGTTGTATTTCTCTATTCTCAAGTATATATACAACCTATATAAACATATATGGTCTTAACACATTGGCGCATTAACTAGAGTACATTATAAGGCTTAACACCCCCCCCCCTCAAGTTGGAGCATGCAAATTACAAATGCCCAACTTGTCTAATAGATAAGAGAATTGTTACGTGCCTAAAGCCTTGGTAAAAATGTCCGCAAGTTGTTCCTTTGTCTTCATATGAGATGGCTGAATGGTTCCATCTTGAATCGTATCCCGCACATAATGACAGTCAACCTCAATGTGTTCAGTACGTACGCTCATCATGAATAATCGGATTTTGAGCAATGTACAATGCGGATTGACTATCACAAAACAAGGTCATCGCACACGGATGTGCTAATCCCAAGCTAACAAGCAAAGCCTTCAACCATTTCAACTCTGATGTGACCGTTGCCATAGAACGATACTCTGCTTCTGCGGAAGATCTAGAAACTGTATGTTGTTTCTTGGTCTTCCAAGAAATTGGAGAACCACCAAGAAACACTAACCAACCAGAAATCGATCGACGAGTCAAAGGGCAACTAGCCCAATCCGAGTCGCACCAACTAGTTAACTGCAAATCACAATCAGAACTGAGAAGAATCCCTTGTCCCGGACAACCTTTCAAGTACCGTACAACACGTAATGCGGCATCCTAATGTTGTTGACGCGGTTGGTGCATAAATTGAGATAGTATATGAACTGTGTAGGCCAAATCCGGGCGAGTAAATGACAAGTAAATCAGGCGCCCCACTAAGCGTCGATACATCTCCGGATCATCAATAAATGGACCATCCGATTTTGCTAAATTATGATTTTGCTCAATCGATACGCCGGATGGCCTAGCCCCTAACAAACCTGCTTCAGCAATTTTATCAAGAGTATATTTCCACTGACATAAGAAAATTCCCTTGGGACTGCGAGCAACCTCAATGCCAAGAAAATATTTCTAAACACCCAAATCTTTCATATGAAAGCATTCAGTCAAATAATACTCAGAAATTGCAGAAGAAGAATTACCAGAAATTATCAAATCATCAACATAGACCAGAATAATGAATTGTACATCACCATTATTCAGAGTAAAGAGAGAGTAGTCAGAGTATGACTATGAAAAACCGTACCTTTTGAGAGAGTCTGCCAACTTTGCAAACCAACAACGCGGAGCTTGACGGAGATCATAAAGAGACTTTTTAAGTCGACACACCAAGCCCGGTTTGTTACCATGAAATCCGGGAGGGGGTTTCATATACACCTCCTCAACGAGATCGCCATGAAGGAATGCATTGTGTACATCAATTTGATGAAGTTCCAAATTCTTGGCAGCGGCAACGGCCAAGAAAGCAAGAACAGTGACCATTTTAGCCACATGAGCAAATTAAAGGTCTCGGTGTAATCAATCCCTTCAACCTAATGATTGCCAAATATAACAAGACGGGCTTTTAACCGTTCAATGGTGCCATCAGAGTTAAGCTTAGTCTTGTAGACCAATTTGCACCCAAGAGCTTTCTTCCCTTGAGGCAACTCTTCCATCACCCAAGTTTCGTTGTCCTCCAAACCAGAAATCTCCTTTTACATAGCCTCTCGCCAACCCGCATCAGTCATAGCTTCCTTATAATTACGGGGCTCACAACCTACATCCAAGGCTGCAAGAAATGTACGATCGCCAACAAAAAATTTAGTACAATTCACAAAATGTGCTGAGGGATAAGGAATACCTGAGGAGCTAACAGACGATGAACTTTGAGATGGACTCGGAATAGATACAGTATGTGCGACATAATCACGGTGCCAACCCGGAGGGTGCTTAGGACGAAGACCACGACCAAGATCAAGAGTAGAAGTGCTGCTAGAGGATGCCGTTGCTGACTCGGATGTGCGGACTGAGCTGCCAGCAGCAGCATGCTCAATAGCAGCCAACAATAGCAACATCAGGGGCAGCCGCAGTTGTGCTGCGGTTCTGGTTGCGCACTGCAGCAGGGCTGCGAGGAGGGTTGTGAGCCGCGACAGGGCTGCAGACTGGACTGTCCGAAGCTTCGGTGTCAAGGACAGCTTATCCTACTGCCAACACATGCTCAAGATCATCCTAAAAATCGACATCAACCCCAACATTATCATTAGATACGGCAGAGGCAACATCATTCGTATCATTAAAGTCACAAAGAGTAGCAAACGAAAATTCGTTCTCATGAAACTTGACATCTCTTGACACAAAGATATCACCCGTATCCAGATCATACACCTTCCAACCCTTCTTGCCATGAGGGTAACCCACAAACACACATTTCCGGCTTCGAGGTGCAAATTATCACCCTTAGCCTTTTGGTTATGAGTATAACAAAGTGAGCCAAAAACCTGCTATTCATCAAAATAAGCACCACATAAAAAAAGTTGGCTTTTACCACGAATTACCCCCAACTAACGGATTCTGTCCATGAATCCTTTAGTGGGGCCTACCATGTACACGTGTGTAAGGTGGATAGCCCGTCGTTGGGGATCTTATTTCCTCTATGCTCTTGGCCCTTTAAAAGCCTAGGACTTTACACTTTTTAGGGTGTATTAGGATTTGAATTCCTGACTGTTTGGGAGACCTTGAATTAGAATTGAGCCTATCATTACTTTTTTTTTAATAGAGAGTTGCCAATGTGTTTTAGGACGGAAAACTCATAAATCTCATTCACGCCTTTCTCCCAGGTAAAGTTCAAGGGATAATTAGCATCGCATGAATCATAAGTTTACACATGCCCAAATTGGTCTACTAGTACCAGAAATGAGTTTGGGAGCGAGGGTACTAGGAAAACGTTCTTTTTGACGA